TTATTAATAAAATATTTGTATACGATAAAGATTTCATTTTACATAGCATTTAATATTTCTGTATAATTAATCCTTAATCTTTATTATCTATTGAAACATTCAATTGAATTTCTTTGATTAGAATAATGAAACTATTGTTTTCAAAAATATGAGTAATTTTGAAAGCAGGAGCTAAGACTAATGCAATTAAGACTTTTCTGATTTTATATAACTCTATTGCATCTGGAAGTATCAAAAATATGATAATAAATTTTTAGGAATTTCCTTCATTTCCTGAAATACAAGGTCGGAATTTGATCTTTATAGCTTCTGGAATTAGCGACAATTTTCCGTGATCATTTATCATTTTGTTGAATCCAATTTAATTTATGTGTTAATATTATCACACCGCATCACTGCATTATTTTGAGTGTGCGGTATCATGTTTTCGAAGAATCTTTAAAGCTTTCTCGGATCCAATTAGATGGTGATAATTATTTACGAATCTTACCATAAAAAACTAAATAATTATCTTAAGATAAGGAGAAAAAGAAAGGATGGATATTATTAAATATCAAATGGAATGAAATAAAATTCATTTAGCAAAGAAAGGAAGGAATGTTAGTGAATGGTTTTTATAACAATTAATAATTCGTAGGGAATTATTATCATATAAGTTACCTGCCAGATTCTTTTTACTTTTATCATTTTTTGAGTAATGCTTGAAGGAGAAGAGGAAGAAGGAAAAAAGTCAAAAATAGGAGTGATATATGAGTTAGAAGTATTGATTATCGGGAAGGATATTTTCATCGGTAGTATTATGGAATTCGATGTTGAGTGATGAAAGTATGCATCTTCCGGTACAATTTTATGGATAATTATGTGGAAATGGTCAAATAGGCAAGGTAGTTTGATGGTCACTTTTCCTTTACACTAATAAAATAGCTGCTGAATTATTTTATGGTATTTTTTAATTCTATTTAGATATATTGGATTTAGTTGATTGGAAATCTTATTCTATCAATTTATAATTGCAAATTTCGTAATGCTTGATTGTATGATGTGTAACAGTATTTCATCAAGTTATATAAGAAAATTTTGGGAGATTCCGAGGGTTTTTTTTAGAGGCATTAATTATAAATTTCTGATTAACGAATAAAACTAATTTGGAAAACAATAAAATAATCTGCTTTATTGCTATTTTTATCATTGTCATATCTTCCGATGGAAGAAATTCTTCAATCATATCATTACTAACAATAGTTACTGTTATTACTGTCACTATGGCTAGTATTTTTATTATTATTATTATTATTATTATTATTATTATTATCATTATAACTAGAAATGGTACTACACATGCTAATATATTGTGGTGTACAGAGAGTTTCTTTCATTTTAAAAACAGGTTTTTGTACTCCGAAATAAATCTCTTACACTTCGTCATTTTTTATATTATCTGTTTACCCATCTGTTAGTACCATCATTTAGATTGCTTTTACTTTCTAAAATATTACCACAATCATTCTTCTCTTTTTAATTCCGATTTTTTGCCGATTGGTAATAAAAGTGCATGTAGTAATGCGGAAGAAAGCAATTCGACAAAAATGTTTGTGTGTATATGTATATATATATATATATATATACATACATATACATATATAAATATATATATATAAATGTTCTTTCTCTTTTAAAGGCGAGAGATCGGGAAGAGGCGGGGAAAAGGAAGATGAGTGAGTGGCGGGGAGCAAAAAACCGGAGGAGATGATATAGGAGAGGAGAAGGAATTGGTATGAAGAGGGTTGAATGAAAGTATATGAAATTTTTGTAATCGACAAGAGGTAGTGTGATCGGGTGAGAAGAATGATTGGTACTTGCTGATGTTTGTTATTGGATTTCATTACATTTCAGTGTCAAATATATTCATTTAATTCAATTTTTTATTTTCTATTTTCATTAAATTACACTTTAAAGTTGTTTGAAAAAAGGTACTTATTTGAAGTATTCATATTCAAATGAAAGTTTATTGTATTTTTTTTCTTTTTCAGTTATACCTTTTTTTAATATAGGTGATATTTAAAATTAAAAAAAAGGTTGAAATGAGTGATAAGAATCAGAAATTATTTGTACATTTCTTTCTTTCTTTAATATTCTCTCTCTCTCTCTCTCTCTCTCATTTTTCTTAATTACTTCAACAAATAAATTTATAGTATATATTTTACTGTATTTCGTTTCGTGAAAGTCAAACATTTTTCCCTGCATATATGTGTGTTCTTTATTTTTGTTCACTTTATTTTTAAATATATATATATATATTGTTTCCATGGCTTACACATATTGTTCCTATTAATTCGAATAACTTTTTACGCATATGTATTTACTACCTTTTAGGATTTTGTTCCTTTGATCATATGAAGGTCTTCTATTATTTTTTTTGTAAGGAAAGAAATTAATTTAATCGTTGGAATATGACGACGACGACGACGACGACGACGACGACGACGTTCGGATCTATTGTTTATGTATATCATTCATTATGATATTCTAATATATTTAGCAAAATGAAATCCTTCAAAGGTTAATGGAAGAGATTTTTCATTACAAATTACGACGCAAATAATCAAAAGTAAAGCAGAATGAAAAGGACGAAAGTATATGAAAGGACGAAAGCTTTCCTGTTCGTTTCTATTTTTATTTATACATACATATATCAACAGGTAGAAAATGGAAAAGTTTTCTTCATTATGCTCCCATGTATTCCTTCAACAATCATTATTAATGTACTGTCATAACAAATACGGAACGTAAAGGTGGAAAGTTTTTTGTCGTTTTTTTTTTCTATAGGTAATTAGAGTTAATTTGCTTTAGTGGAAAAAAAAATTTAGGTTTTGAGAAAAAGTTTTAAATAGTTAATATAATATTGTAAAGCTGTAGGAAGATGATTTATAGTTTATTTTTGTATTTAAATTATTATTAGTTAATGAAGATGATTTATAGTTTATTTTTGTATTTAAATTATTATTAGTTAATTATTTTACTGGAAATGGTATTCAATGTATTTGATATAAGAAATATGAAGTAGTACTGTTGAAGATGTAGAAAATATGTGAAATTGCTATTTTTCATTTATCCTCGATCAACAGTACAGGAAAGAATTTCGAGATTGTAAATGAGAGTAGAAGGCAAATATAAAATTGTATTTCCTATACATACATACTGGGAGAGAGTTATTAGTTGAGAAGGTATTGACGACAGTTTAATATTCATGAATATCTTGCAGGATGCTGCAAAATATTTCAATCCGGTCATATCGATCAATTACTTTGTAGCCTTAATGATCTTAGTTGTTTGTTACTAAGAATTAATCAGGAATTTGGAAGAAGACATTGATTTATTCGTTACTCCGTCTTTATCATTCTCTGTCTCTGTTTGTCACTCTCTCTCTCCCTCTCTCTCTCTCTCTCTCCCTCTTACCAACCTTCATCTTTTCATACAAATCAAGTTATACTTAGCAAAATTATTAGAGTTAAGAATAAAAAAGTTTCGTGTCTTTCGTTCCTTTTCTTCTTTCTCCTGTTTTTTTTCTCTTTTGTATTCTCTTTTTTTACGCTCCATCCATCTCTACTTCTCAAATTCTCACTTAACGATTACTGTTTATATTCCTTGCAATGCTCTTTTCTTATTTCTATAATTTATAAAATGAATAAATTCATAATTAAAAGATGTGTAGAGAGAGAAAAGTTTTCTTTAGTATTTTATAAAGTTAATAAGACGAAATAATTATTGATTGATCTATTATTGTTTTTAACTTCGGCGTATACGATTATTTTTGTCATTTTATTATCATTATTTATTACTATTGTTTATTTGTTATTGTTATTTGCTATTTTTTATTGTTTTTATTATTTATCTGTTGTTTATTATTTGTAAATAAATTATCGTCTGTTATTTATTGTTTACTGTGTATTATTATTTATTGTTATTACTATTCATTTAATATTCTCATCATTTATTATTACTACTGTTTATTATTATTATTATTTTTTTATTCATTATTTATTATTTATCATTTATTATTTATTATCATTTGTTGCTATTTATTATTTATTATTCATCATTTATTGCTACTACTCTTTATAATTATTTATTAATAGTTATTGTTTATTATTATTTTTCTATTATTGTTTAATGTTCGTCGTTTACTGTTATTTACCATTGTTTATTATTTAATTATCATTTATTATTTATTACTGTCATCGATCAATTGTTATTATTATTAATTGTTAAATATGGCTATCGATTATTTTCACTTTCAAACTTTTTCTTTCTTCAATATCAGGGAAAAAACCTGAAAATGGCATTTAAAAGGGACATTTTACAAAAATGTTACTGAAAGAATTAAAAAAAGATGGGTATAAAATTTGGAATAGTAATTTGATAAAGTTTTGTCATTCCGTTTGTTATGGGAAGAGGTAGGAAAAGTGTTCGATAATTGCTATGATGTGGAGTGTGAAACATTCGAATATTATTTACATATCTATGAAGCAGCCGCCTGAGTAGAAGTAGAAGAAGAGTTAATAATGATATTGAAAGTTGATAAGGGTATTTCTTCGTTATTTTCAATCGTTTAATAAATAATTTGATAATTTGATTTATCTGAATAATATTCATAAAATAGGTAGTTTTAGGATAAGTTATCAATCGTAATTTCTGAAATTAATGGAAAAAAGCTCCGGCAGAGAGAATGATGAAAGAATTGTAAAATTCAGTGGGAAAATAAGGGGTATATTATTTATCAGATAAATTTCTTTTTTTAGAAATATATTAGCTGTAATAATTTTCATTATATTTTTTGATAAATGAAAAGATTTTATTTTTTTTTTTGCTTTTTTTATTATTAATAATAAATAATTATGAATAGTATTGTCTTGAATTTAATTAGTGCTAAAAATGCAAAATTCATTTACTATTCAAGAGAAATGGTAATAGTGATAATTTCCTTGTTTTGCAGCACACATATGCCGCCGATAGCTGCAACACGATCTGGTCAAAATATTCGCCGTACATGTAAATTGATGAATGATATTTCAGCTTCCCCAACAGCAGCAACCAAAACACTGCCAGCAGCATGTGGTTCAGGTTAGAATATTTTCTTTTCTTTCTTTATGGATCACGTTAAAAGCTTTTTTCGGAAGTTACGGTATGAAGCTGAGCTGTTGAAAATTTATGGAAATGATTTATTTAATTCCGATAAGGCGTTGAATTGAGCTGTTCGATAGATTAGTTAAGTTAAAATAACTCAAAAGTTAGCTAATATGAATGTGAATCATCTGTTCATAATGTGTATAAATCTGTGAAACTTTCCGATGTTGTTTGATAATTTGAAATTTAATCAATAATGCGGATAAATTGCTACTGTTGTATGATTATCAACATTTTAATTGCATATTTTGGTTGACCTTTAATCGACTGAAATGATTGTGTTGTGTCTAGCAATAGAATAAATACATACACTTAAATATAAATTCTCATCTACTTTTTTAATTATAACCAAATAGGATTATATTTACGATTCATTCATAATTTACCATTTAGAATTTCAACTTCATCCTTAGAAAACGTTTATAACTGATAAACCATTTTTAGTATTACAAGAGATGCTTATTCCAATTCTGAATTTGGTCATCCGAATAAACCATTTATGAAATCTTTACTCTTCTCAATATTTTCAAACTAAGTAATCTTTTTGGCAAATAAGTGGTGTTTTCTCAATTTGTACAGGTCAAAGGTTACTTCAGTCTGCTTGATTTCGGCAATATAATTGTGAGTAAATCATTTCTCAGTGGGAAATTTGTTTTATACATTTCCAATTTCTTTGTTTCGCATATTTATATTTCTCAGCAATGCATTGGAAATGAACGATATTGCCTAATTTCACCATCATCTCTTTTCTCCCGAAAACGATCATTGTGTTGGTCAATTATATGGAGAGAATGAATGAATTAAATCAAGTTTCAGGAAAGAACGTACAAACAATAACGCCGTCACATCCCAAAAACTCGAAATTGTATAAAACTGAACTCTGTCGAACATGGATGGATTGCGGACGGTGCAATTATGGCGATAAGTAAATTTATTTTTTTTTACCTTTAAAAAATTTTCACTTTTTTGTTTCTGTTAATTCTTTCTTTACTATCAAAACTTTCAATCGTGATAGGGCGGCATATTTGCTTGATTTTGAGTTATATTTATTTAATCGAAGATTACATTTGAGAATAATTATATCATAATATTTCATCGATTTTTTGATTTAATAGTTTAAGTTGCTTGAAGTAAGAGGATATTCACATAGATTAATAATGTTTAAATGGAAATTTTTCAAATCGTAGTAATTTATGGATTGATTACCTAATCTGATTTTTGACCTATTATTTCACCGAAAAGAAAATGTAAACAAACGAGTTAAAATTTGACTTACGAAACTATTTTTTCCGATGTATAATTACAGGAGTTGAGCGAAAGGTTGACGAAATTAAATTATAGGAAATGAAAAAGATTAAAAATAGAGAGGAAAGAGAGAAAGTGGAAGAGATAAGCTAAAAGAGAGAAGACTTTTTTCTTCTTCCTCCCTCCTTTTAAAGTTGATAATGTTCGCTTGTATGTGTGGTATTAGCAGCTGTTTTGGTGTCTGTTTTAGAATTAATGGTAGTAGAGCATACAGATATATATAATTAGTAGAACATATATATATATTTATATAGTTGTAGAATGAATTTTAATTCTAATGCCCTAAAATTGTATCCAATAAAAAGGGAACGGGGAGAATGAATGGATGAATGGAGGGAGGAAATGGAAGGTTGCTTTGCAATAATAGCATTAAAACGATGCATGACAAAAATATTATAAAATAATATTTGCGAAGCATTGCTGAAAGATGATTATACATTGATTGATTGATTGATTTATAGGGAGATTTGAGCAACATATGTTTCTATTAAATTCTGTGCTATTTGTGAGTGGACTAAATAAAACCATTAAGATATGATGATGACCTCTGATTTTGCAAAAAGATTATTGATAACATTTTATGGTCTTACTAGATTTTTAACAACTTTTAATGATGAAACGGTTAATGAATTGGAAAAGGATATGATACATTATGATATTTTGATTTAAACTTGAAGAGGTAATATTGATGTGAACTTTTTTCCATTTGTAAATGGTAAGGATAGGACTTTACTTCAAAGGTAGGACTTTATTTCATTCTGCTATGCCCAAATTAAAAGGCATTGCAGAAGGGAATATCTCATTGACAGTTTTAAGAGAAATGAAAAATTGAATTGTTTGAAAGTGAATTGTAATGATGAAATATTTTTCTTTCCTTTCTTTACTTCTGTATCCACTCTCAGAATCAATATTTCATTTCCATGTAAATATGGCAGTTTATCTTCTAACTTGTTTGTCAATACAAAACTTTAAGATGTCAAATTATTAAGTAATCATCACTCTTATATATCTTATTTTTCCTATTAAGAATGAAAGTTTCAAATTTTTTACTTTTTGTTATTCTTTTCCTTATTTTTGTCTTATTAAATTAATTGAATGCAATTATTTTAAAAGTAATTCATAAAATTTCAAAGTTACTAACTGGAAGTAAAATAACAAAGTCACTGTATTTTTATCAAAATGGTTTTATATGATGTGGAGTACTACAACTATTGCAAGTTGTAAAATCTCATCGTAAAATTAATTATTCTATGCATTCATCAATTCTAGATTGATAGCGGTATATAGTATCGGGAATTAACGAAGAGAATATATAGTTTTGATCGTTTGATTCTCCCTGAGTAACTTTTTCATTTTCTAAAAAGATTATTTTATAAATTATTTGCAAGAAAGGTTACTCCTTCAAATTCCTTTCTTTTATGCAATTTATCATTTGAAATCATATGATCTGCAATATGTTTGCTCACTTTTCTCAAAAAGCTTAAACAGAAAGAGTGGAGGAATCGTGCCAGGCAAATATTCACTTCTACAAGTGATAAAATATATAGAAGTGAATATTTGTTAATTGTTGTTCGGAATTTATTTGTTTCGTTGATTTGATAATGAAATTTAAAAGCATTTTAAATTTGCGGAAAAATATCAGTTTTCGTCATATTTTTAATTGAAATAATGAAAATAAGGTGGTGAGATTTTACCGAAGATAGGTCAGTGTATAGGTCAAGAATTTCTGATCGTTTCTGATCCGTCGGTTTTATTTCTCTTCTTTTTTCATGTTTTTTGCATTTCCGTTATGTTTTCAATAATTTTATATTTGTTTGTAGTAGGAAAAGGAGAAAAAGATCTGATAAACTCTAAATGACACCAGTGATATGTGGAAAAAGAGAGAGAGAGAGAGAGATAGAAAAGGGAGGAAGAGAAGTTAAAAGAAAATGTAAGTTTTTAATACATTTAGATATGGATATCTTATTATTATCATTATTATTATTGCTGTTACCATTACTAGGTTGTCCCAATTATTATTATCAATTATTAATTATTATTTTATCAATATTATTATTAATTATTATTATTACTATTATTATTATTATTCATGATTATGATTGTTATGATTATTAGTTAAGTGGACAGTAATAACATCAAAGCTTTTTGCATTAAAATAGAAAAAGAAAACCGGTTAAAAAGGACAATAGTTTTATTTCTGCTCTGAAGGAATTTTTCATTTTTTTTTTGCATATCTAATGAAGTTTTCTTCCTTAACATTTTTTCCATATTTTTAAATATATAAACCATCGAAATTTCATTTATTAGAAGAGAGGAGAGGAAAAGGGAAGAGGATGTGATAATGGATGATAATGAGATGTTGAAGGCTATTTCGCCTGCATATTTCTTTTATTGCCGGTGATCAATTTCCATCAAAAATAAATTTAAAAAAATATTTAAACGTCACTTTTTCTATAATTGTCAAGAAGTAAAAAAATTTTGTCAATAACAGCTGAAAAATTTTTGGTTATAATAAAAATATAGTATTATTAATGGAAATAGAGACAATCATCCAATTCTGTATCAATAAATTGCACTTGATTACTTTTGATTTTTTTGTGGTATAGTGGGAAAGAGATTATTATCACACTTTTGTATAACAAGTATTGATTATTTATTTCGATTATTTTATTAAAGTATGAAGATTATTAATCTTGATTGTGAAGTTGACTTAATTTTTTTATGTTTGATATATTAAATTTGAAACAAGGTTATTTACTATAAGATGAAGAAAGAAAACAGAATGAGAGAAAGAGAAAAATGAGTATATGATTGTATATTCTTATTCTTCATATAGAAGCGAAAGAAAAATGTGTATAAATTATAAAATGTTTTGCATAAAATTTAGATAGAATAACTGATTCCTTTTGTATCTGAAATTGCGATATTTACAATGAAATTCTAATAAGTTTACTAGTTTTTGTAGGTGTCAATATGCACATGGTGAAGAGGAAAGAAGGCCAGTTTCTAGGCATCCTAAATATAAGACCGAATTCTGTCAACCTTTTCATCAAGTCGGTTATTGTCCGTATGGACCGAGATGCAATTTCATCCATAACGAAGAACAGCCATACCCTTCTTTGCAAACTCGTCGCAATCAAATTAATTGGTAAGCTTTTCGCCGTTTTGTCATTTCGAAAATTGTAAGATAATAAATGCGATTGGTAGTTATCAAACAATAAGTTCAGATTTGAATAAAGTTCATCCAAGGTAGTAAATAGAACCATGAAGAATTTAGGGCTGGTTATAGAGACACTAAGTAAATTAAAAGTAATAGATAAACAAATACTTGAACTACTTTTGCTGGATATCAGAAATGTGATTATAAAAGGAAGTAAAAGTTAAGAATCTTCAAATTTGATTCTTTTTTTTGAAATAGCTTTGTCGGTCAAATTATCTTTTTTTGGAATTTTCTTAAATTAGTTTCTCGATCAAATTATCAGACATGATATTCACTGAAATATCCGTTTGAAGCAATGGAAATAATAAGGTGAATGGTAAGAGTGGTAGCAGTGACATCAGTGGTACAGCAACAATAATAACAGCTACAACAACAGCTACCACAACACTAACATTTGGAATCTGGCAACCATATTGCAGTTCAACGGGCGATTCTCCAGCTCCCAGCTCTGCTGGTTCCAGCAATGATAGTTCTATTGGTTCCGGTAGTCCAAGTTTGGATTTCGACGAAAATACGGGCTCTATTGTTGCCACCAATGACTGGGGCAGTTTTGGTGCCAAATTCAACAATAATGCAAGTTTCACAGTTCAACTAAGGATTTGATTTATTTTATCTTTGTGGCTCTCTCTTTTTAATGATGGCTAGTCGTTGGTCTTTCAATTTATTTCACTGAATTTATATTGAGCTGGAATGTATAGAACCGGTTATTAAATGAATTTACGGTCTTGGACCATAACTTTTAACAAAACATTATATTCAATGACTGCAGTGGTGAAATTGTACTAGTCGATATTTATTACTGAAATTATGGTTTAATTTTAAAAATTAGAATCAGGAAATTATGCAAACTTTTTGTTGTGTAATCGGTAAGTTACTTCAAGTCATGCTGAGCACAGAGAAGGTGCCATTTAATAGCAGTTTTGATAATAATGAGTTTTGATTTTTAACTTTTAGTACTCTGGAGGTTGTGAGTATCATCTGTTCATTCAATGATCATTTAACAAAGTTGCATTATTAGACAAAGTTAATTAGCAGACATAACATACAATTTGATCAGTAATAACAACCGAATTTGATTTTGAGACTATAATTATCCATTTAGATCATAAAAATTAAATTCCTGTTGTTTTCTAGGTGTACCATTTAAGCTGGCCATTGGGATCGGCCATAGCGACACCCGCTCGAGCGACACCACTCATTACACAACCATTACTTGACTCAGCACTCTTCAACGATTTGCTTGAGCTAACAATTGATGAGAAGAAAAAGAAGAAAGCAATTATTACGAAAACAGTAAGTGAAAGCGCTGTAACCTGCGCATCTTCCGGACGTTTACCGGTTTTTGCTCAGCTCAGCAATCCTTCGTCAGCTTCTTAAAATAAATGGTTTGAATGATCCGGTGAATAATTATGATAATACATCCACTGTTTTTCTTGCAATTTTCGTATTCTTTTTGTTTCTTCTTCCATTGATGTTTCGTTGTTGTTCTTTTTCGTTCCATTCATTTCCCTTTTGATTTCATGAAAATTTGATCCATCGATTTCTTTGGATTTCGAGAATTTATCAATTTGAAATAGAGGTAGATTGAAATTAATAACTTTGTTTATGTTGTCGTTAATTACGGTGGCATTTCAGCTTTTATTATAAGCGAATGAAATTCTTAAGAAGTCGAAATCTCTTTTTTATCACTTCTTTATATAGCAGTTTTCTTGTATATTTTCTTATCAGCTTGTTACTTTGTACAATATTTCGGCCAAATTTCTTTTTACCAAAAACAAAAAATGAAAAAAATACAAAAATAAAAATTAAACAGAATAGAATTAGATTATATGAAAAAATTTCTCTGCTTCTATCCTACCTTATAATTCATCACTTTTTATTCCTTTTCCTAATTTCTCTTCGTACCAGCCATCATTCATTATTACACTCTTCTCACATTAGTAGCCTTAGAATGTATAGTTACACTTTTTTGTTTTTCTTTAAAATTTCATGAAAATTTGGTTAGTGCGTAGTATATGCTTTTTCTATGAACAACATTTTCATCAATGAGATATATATTGTATCTATGTATGTACGTATGTATGTATGTATGTATGTATGTGTGTGTGTGTATGTGTGTATGTGTTTATGTATATGAATGTATATGTATGTTAGTAATTACTAGTAGTAGTTGGTTTCATTCGTTTTTTTATGTCTCTATTCATCTACCTGAACTCAGTGAACTCCCGAATATAAATCCATATTATTATTATTATTATTATTATTATTATTATTATTATCATTATTATCATTACCATTATCATTGTTATTATTATTGCTATTATTATCATCATTATTATTATTATAATCATTATTATCATTATTATTATTATTATTATTATTATCATTATTATTCTCATTATCAATATCATTATTATTATTGGTATTACTCTTATTATTACATTGCCATTATTTTTAATCCATCATTGTGCCTTCAGAATTTGTAAGCCTCCTTTTTTTTGGAAAAAGCCTCTCACTTGTTATGTTAATGTTTCGTTCCTGACAGTTTTTTTTTTTATTGCTGAGAAGTTATAATTTTGCTAGAATAGTTCCGTACGTTTTTCATTTTATTTCTTTAAGGAGTTGGATAACTTAACATAATTGTGAATCCCTAAATTGGTATCATTTGTTTATCATTCTAGATTATGATTCCTTTTGCTAGGCTCTTTTCTTATCAAATATCACTATTCAGGATAATCTTCTCAATCTTTCTTCTTTTTTCCGCTCAACAAACAAGAAGAAAGTTACTGATCAAAGAAAAATGCCAAGGAAATTTTCCTTTCATTTAGTGAATAAGCTTTTTATCAAGCTTGAAAGATTTCTTTCGGTATTACTAGTAAAATTTCTGTCTGTTGAGCGAGTCCATTACTAATGTTTATCTTAATTAGTGAATTTTAAAATGATTTACCTTTTATTCTTTTGAATCCTTTTCCCATTTTAAGAAGGAAATTATGGAATTAGAATTATATCCGATATATAAAAGCATCAAGAAGGCAAGAATAATAGCATTCGCTTCCCTTAGCCTAAAATAAATAAAGGGAATGAGAAATTGCAGAATAATGAATCGTATTTATCAATAGTTTTCGCCTAGCGAGTGAAGAATATATCAATCATTTAAACTATAAAATAAAAAAAGGAAAAGAATGAATATATTTCCATTTTAGAATTCTCTCTCTCTCTCTCTCTCCTCTTATATCCAATCTTTCTCTTGCTTGTTTAAATCACAGTATTTTTATTCGAAATTTTTAATATCCGTCCTTTTTTCCTTATTCTTTCATCTTTCTATTTATTCCTTCACTCTTCTTCCTACATTTCCTCACTTTTGTTTAGTTTTTTATTATTTCATCAAACATTTTCATGCGAACAATAATAGCGGCAACAACATTAGCAAAAATAATAATAACAATAATAATAATAGTAATAATAATAATAATGATGATAATAATAATAATATCAAGAGAGTGCTTTCATAACTTATTCATTTCTCATTTTACTATATGTGGGCCTGAACTGACAACGAATCATTCGTATTCTGTACTATAAAATTATATAGCAGCGTTATGTTGCAGAATTTTATCTCTTGAATCGACAAGTACGGATAATATAATGTGAATTCTTTTTAGTTAGAAACAAGGCTTGGAATCTTATACCTACGATAATGGATGATTTGTTAATGAAGGGATAGATAAGTTGTAAATCCAATTAAACTAATATTTTGATCATTTTATTTCGTGAAATTAAATTAAAATGTGCAGCATTCATTCCTCCATTTTTTTCTTCCTATCTTTGTTTATGACATCTCTTGCAAATGAATGTTTCCAAATGGAAACTTTCAAATATTTTTATTAGTTGATGATTTCATCCGTTTCCCATATCTCTGATGACTTCAAAACTATTTGCTGCGTTTTGTTTTCCCAGCAAGTCGATTGGGAGTTTCATTTACATTTTCAGGTGAATAAGTGCCAGATTTCAGGTTTTACTCGACGGACCTCACATGAAAAACAAATATTCATAAACTATTTGACCTTTTTCTTTTTCTCTATCTCTTTCCATCATTTCTCTAGTATTGCATAATACCAATGGGGCTTATTTGTTTTTCTTTTATCCTCATTTCATTAAGAATTTTCTCAAATAAATTCCATGATAACTATTCCTTTCTGTTGCCATTTTAGTGCTTATAAAAATTTTACTTTGATTATAAAATGTAAAATGATTCCATTTTTTTCACCTTATGCCCATATCATTCGAAATTTAAAAAGTTTCGTGCCAGTTTCATTTCCATTTTTTTTTTACATACCAATTTGCTTTTTCCCAGTTATCATTTATCTTTGGTCCGATGTATTTGTTCTTTCATTATTATCATTTTCCTTTTTTTTTGTTTCACTTCTCTGACATATTGCTATTATTATTATTATTATTCCTCTTATTATTATTATCACTTCTTATGCATTAGTAAGATTATCCTAATTTTAGCTATTTACGTCTGACACTTAGTTATTGTTATTATTCATCTAACTTCAGTAAATCAGTATAAATCAGTTTTATATGTATGTATCTCTCTCTCTCTCTCTCCCTCTTTCTCTGCGTGTGTGTGTGTGTGTCTTATTTTTACTCATTCTATTTTCTTACCGTTATTCAAAAAACAAATTTGCATACATGTACTTATATTCTTATTTGTTGCCTTAATTTATTATCTTTTATTTTTTGAAAATTAACTCATCATACATACAGAAAAAGAAAAGTTTTTTTGATATATTAAATGTGTACAAAATTACTTTTTGTTGTTATTGTCAGCCTGAATAATTCGTTAATTTGATGACTTTTCTATTCATTAATTTTTGGTGATATTTATGCGCAAACAAAAAAGGGAAAAGATAATGAATGATAACAATTGAAAATAATTTTTAAATCATTTAATCAATATGATGCATATATTTTAGCATAAGAGAATATGCTAATCTGATATGGAATTAATTAGATAGTTAGTGTACTTTAATTTTAACGATTCGTTGGTATTTAAAGTTAAAAAAAATAACGGTTTATATTTTCAACAATTTAATTTTGTAGAGAAACAAAGAAATGAAGTATACAATTCAATTCAAATTCAATTGTTATAACTTTTGCCTTGAAATTTCTTGCAGGATGTCACCAACAATTTATTTTTCTTTACATTTTTAATTACAAATTGTCATCGCTTTTGTAATTATTCGCTTTTCCTCTTTGTTTTTTTTATCTTTTAGCTCTTTTTTCAAGTAGTTTCACTTAGTGTTTCTTCTACTTTGTATTCTTCTCTCTCTCTCTCTCTCTCCATCTCTCCCTCCTCCTCATATCATTAATTATGTTAGTTTATGATTGAAAAATTAACGTGCAGTAATTTCACCTTTTGTCATTTATTACTCATTTATGTAATGTAATGATAACAGGAAGTATTAGTACTGTGTTTGACAAATTTATCACTTATCACTCATATTTTTCCTCTTTTTTCTTTCTTGATGTATACAAGATAATGTTATGTTATACTACTTATAAAAGAAAAAAAATAATATGACAAGAAGAGAAAGAGAAAGAGTAAAATAGGCAATTAGTTGATAATTAGCTCTCAACTTAAACTATACTATTGAATAATCCACTATACATATTTGTTCAACTTTTGAAGCATATATATATATAACAGTGAAGAATGATCTTATTTATGACAGTGGCATATTTTGTGAAGCGCTACACACCACACATGTAACAAACCTGGTTCAGCTTTTAGCCACCAAATCTCGCTCATTATTTGTTAATTTGATATTTCTGGTAGACAATATACTTTGAGTTGATTTTGGCATGGTTAGTTTTTATTAATTTTTTATATTTTTTGTAAACAAATTAAATTTATCGCATTGAGAGAAGGGGAAGAGAATTAAAAGTTTGCGTGTATGTTTCGGATGGTAACCGATAGAATATGTCATTTACGATAGATATCTTTGGTATCGAATTGAATGTGTCTGATATGGCAAAATATGCATGTACTCAGTTATATCAGTCATAGTTGTCACGATGATATAACAAAATATCACTATGATATAGCAAAATATAACAGCGAAGATTTTTTCTGGCCATCATTGCAAAATCATACTTGTTACATCTAGTTTGACAATTAATAGCAGTCAAGTTCATCGATGTGAAAGCATATTAGAACAAATCATAAATGGAGATTTATTATTATCCTGAGTTCAACCTGAAGTACGTATCATGAATTCGGTAACTGCATTTCATATACCGCTTTTCCAAGCCATCCAGAAGATTTACTGCTACGAATCGTTCGGGAAATACAATCTAACAATAGATCTAAT